CCCCCCCCCCCCCCCCCCCCCCCTCCGCCGCTACCCCGGCGGAAGTGGAACATGTTGTGTTTAGCAGTTAAAGAGGCTGAAGCTAAAATCGAGCGTAAAAAAGTGCGGAGCGTGAATACAGACCCCTTTACCCCACCCACCCGCTCCCCCTGAGCAGGTGCTGAGTAGCAGCAAATTTCAAACCAGTTACCTGTAATAAGTGCTGGGGCCTTTTGAGGGAAATCAAGATGCATGGAAACCCAATGCGCAAAACAATCTGGCCCCAATTTTGCCGCAGTATGTCTCTTTGTTCGAGTACTGGTCAATACGTTTTCGGCAGAAAACAGCCATTACATAATTACAGTGCTTGTAAAACCGAGATCGTGTTGCTGGCTTGTTATGATTTTTTTGCGTGTGTTCACTATACTCCCGTGTTCTGTTTTTAATTAAACTTTTGAGTAGTCAAAAGTTCTTGTAGACTTGCACCTGTTTGGCAAATAAACAGCGAAAAAAGCGAAAAGGCTAGCGTTTTACGGTAAAAGACTTCAGGTTCTCGAACTGTTACAACATTTTGAATGAAATAGATAAGAAGGAAATTTAAAATTCGTCAGAGTGATCTTTAACAAACTTGTTTCTTTGATCTCTGAGGACTGAATGCTGTAACTTTAAGCCTGTTATTCACACAATGAGGAAACCTGACATTTTTTCTTATACCCTGTCATTTCAAAAAAAGTTTAATAATCAACGGCTTCTTTCTTGAAAACCCTTTGAAAACGTAGCGCCTTTTTCAAAGACAATTGAAACTTGCAGTCGAAACTACACGGGTGTAGCCTACCGAGTCGCAAAAAAGAAAAGAACCATGGATTTTCTTAGAAATAAAAATTAGTCTATAGATTTGATTTTTCATGTTTTCTCCGACAGAAGTGAATTTTGATCGTTGAACATTGACAGAAAGAGCAAAAACATTTAGCACAAGACTACCACGTGCTGTAAAAGATCGAAACAGTTTAACACAAGACTTAATATTTCAAGTTATGCACGTGCTAGTATATTGTTGAAGTGTGGCGCTCTTGTTCGCGACAGGAGCACGTGTTGGGAACGCGGATGAAAGTTTGAAAGGAAAAGCAAAAATCGATGTTTACATTCGTTATTAGTAAATGCACAACATCTTTTGCTTAGTGATCGAATCTATAATCTACAACGTTGTGCGCACGAAACAGTTTTGAGTTGAGGTAGCACTGTTGCTAGTGTAGGGGTAGAACAGTCAATCGAGCTGCGTGGACGAATTAAAATGAACGAATGAATATTGTGTGTCTAGGAACGGGTTTCTGGCGTGACCGGTGTTTTTGCGCGCAATTAGCATTTTCATTCATATAAGGCACTGTTAATTATTCGGAGCTGTCAGGGTCCAGGAAAACAAAGAGCTGACGACAAAAACACGAGGCTCGTTGGAACAGATGTAGTGGAACTTAAACGCAGGCTTATAGAGGAGACCGCGAAGAGCAGTTTGAGAGCTGATCCCTTCAGACAACCACAGCAACTAGAAATTGTTATAATCAGCAGCAAATTTTCCCGATGAAGCTGGAAGGCGCGCGGAAAGACTCCTGAAAGCACTGACTGAAACATTAATTCATACACCAGTGAATATGAGAGCGCCAAACTCGATGTCGTTCTTGTCAAAGGCGTACAACTTTTTGAAAGGTAAAACGTCGCGAAACGACGAAAACTTTTACACCAAGACTCCTTTCCCGAGCGAAATCTACCCTGTTCTTTGCGAGCCGATCGACTGCAAAGGAATGGCGCGTAATTCGTGGAAAGGCAGACAAATTTTGGGAGAAATTAGCAGTCAGCCGATCACTGACCGTGAACGAATGAAGCAAAGAGCGCGCTTGGAGAGTTTTAGTCCGCGCGCGGTGTTGAAGAATTATTGGTCAAATAAAGAAGAGAAGAAGATTAACACTGAAGTACAACAACCTCAAAACAACAAGGTTTTCCACCAGGGTGGAGAAGACGAAGACGAGGAGGGAGTTTTTTCAATACAGGTTCGTTCCTATTTTACTTTCACTTCTAAGCCATGCCTTATTAAAGAACGCGGAAATTTTTGGCGCTCAATTCCTTCTTGGAAAATAAGCTCTATCAAGCCATAGCTATGTAGGCGCTTCAATTTGTTTTAAAATAGTCCTTTTAACGAGAGATTTCCCTTCAACTTGAGAGAGCTGATCCCGTCTGATCGCAGATTGATCGGTTTAAAATACCGCGCAATGTGTGCAGTTAGAGAACAAATATACAAAGCAAGTGATCGTAAATCAGTCAATTGTAACGCAACTTCAAGATCGTCTACTTGATTTTCATGTAAAGGATTTCGTCCTGGTCTCACCGCTCCCAAACGAAAACTGCACAGAAACTTCCGTCTGAAAGCGAAGAGGAGTATTTGTATATGATTACACCTAAGTGTCTTTGTTTCCGGGATCGAAACTTCCGCCAGTAAACAAGCTCAATTTTCTAACATCGAAAAACGCGCGGTACATGTTGTGCTCAGGTTATGAAACAAGCATACAACCTGTGGATCCCTTCAAGGCAGGAGTTGTTTTAATTAATAACTGTCATAACTTTACAAGTGGAGGTTTGGTAAATTAAAAAAAAAAGTTCGTTGGAAATGCTGAACGAAACATTGAGAGATAAAAGAATCATTAGGGAAAGTGGAAACAAGAATTTGAACAAAGTAATTTTACTTGAAAGTAGTAAAACAGGTCTTGCACTTTTCAGTTTATATCCGAAATGTGATTTATGCTATTTCACATCTCTGCGGCATCTTATTTTTCAGGGCTGTATCAATGTCAATGTGAACTTTTCAACCACCGATAACAAAGGTTCCCAAAAAAACCGTTTGTGTTTTCAATTGTTTCTTGGATTTTGTAACAACAAAAGAACAAATTTCCCCAGGGGTACAAACTTAATCACGATCAAGAAGACCAAATTAAAAGCCTCCTAATCAAGTACAGCACGAAAGCCTGGATAAGAAAAATTGCAGTAAAAGGAAAATTTTAAAGCTAGGCGTTTCTTTTACATCTTTTTGAATTATGGCTAAACTTACTCGAGTCAAGATTCTACAATTTTAAGATTTAATTATGAGTTTGTATTTATGTTTTCACAATAATTTTATACAAAGTACACACCCAGTATTTTTTTTTGACAAACTGTCACTTACAGGCTTCACTGAATGAAAGATTTCATTGTACTTTGCATTCAAAAGTAAAATAACCCAATATTTTTTGCGTTAAGCGATATCTTTCTAGTATTCCCTCCGTATCGTGGAAATAAATTGTTTATTATCTCACGCCACGCGACATGATGCCTTTTGTTCGCGTGCCGTGTTCGATTTGTAAGTGAAATCCATTAATTTTCCTAATNTCATGCACAGTTGATCAAGCCACAGAATGGCTTCCTTGGTATTGTCTTGGTGGGAGGAGCCGACACACCATTGGAAAATCATTACGTCAACGACATCCTACCCAATTCCTCCGCGTCCAAATCCGGCCGCGTCAGAAATGGAGACGAACTTCTGGAGGCTAACGGCCAAGCTCTTGGCGGGAAAACACACGCTGAAGCCTTGGCCATCTTCAGATCCCTGCCAGCCGTCGTGACGTTGGTTGTAGCGAGGAAAAAAGATGCGAACCGCGCCATCTTGGAGCGTTTGAAGCACGAGAAAAAAGACAAGAAGGTGAACAACAACATCGCGTCACCGAAGAGGAGAAGAAGCGTTATCGAGGAAGCAGCCAGCTCGAGTGTCATCCCCAGGACGCTCTCGTCCGTTATCGACGTCACTAAGCAGGCTTGCCCGTATGTCAAACCTGTTAAGCGAGTTTCGCGCGTCACTTCCTTCGTCGGGCCAACGGAGGATGAATTGACTGGTCGCGTGAGCATTGGGACAGAAAAAGGCAATCAGGAGAGCACAATGGGGAATGAGGTGAATTTTATTGATAAAGTAGATAATTTGACAATTTTGTGAAAAGAAACTAAATAATTAGGTATTTAGGTATATGAGGTTTTCAGCACTAATTTTTAGGGGGGGAGGGTGGTTATAATTTGACAAGCCTATTTCATTTGGCTTCACTATACTGTGTCCAACTGAACTAGAACGAAACGGTTTTCCATGGCTGATACTCTACGAGTTCTAAATTTTAACTCGGTCGGAGACAGAGAAAGTAGTTATTACGTTATTAAACTAACATTCATGTTCTCTATATTTCCCTCCAGTTGCATACTCTGTCAACTAATCCTGAAACCAGTGACTACGCAGTATGTCAAGACGGTGCTATCCCCGAATGGAGCAAGACCTCAGATTCACTGTCACTTAAGAGCTTCGCGCGCTGTGAACCATTTCTCGACCTACCACAAATCCACGAGGATAAAGCAACTTTGCATTCCACCACGGTAGCTCTGAGGTGCTCGCGAAACCGGCAGAGCACCTTGAAAAGACAAAGCACCATCGAGCATTGTGATGTAAGGGCAACTTGGCCTGCTTTTACGACCAGACAACGACTCCCTCTTCCCTGGGACTCGATCACGTCTCAGAGACCAGCGACCGTTGGCCGAAGTTCCTCGGCGCGCGTTCGGCGAAGCATCGTGTCCACTTCGGCATCCAACTCTTCACTGTATCAAACTTCGAGCTCAGCTCGGAAGTTTACGGGGAAGCATTATATTGAGAGGAAAACTATCACCGTTGAGTTACAACGCGAAAGCACAGCCAGTGATTGGGGATTTACCATCGGAGGGGGAGTTTTTTCTCCGTACGGAGACCTCCCGATATTCATTGCAGAAGTTCCAGCTACCGGGGGTGCACAGGAATTTTTGCAGAATGGAGATGAAATCGTTGATTTCAGCGGAGAAAGTTTGGAGGGCGCAACGTTTTTAGAGGCAGAGAAAATGTTACGAAGATGCGCGAGGAAAAAGGTGACAATTACCATCAAAAGAAAGTTCCTTCAACGAAGTCAAAACCCGCAGAGTAATCCATACGCCGAGATGTGGAACTCATTAAACACGACGAAAACGAGAGGGAAGCAAGGAAGGCGACCAAAATCATTGCACTGTTAAGAGAGTACAACGCTTTTTCAATTGTTGTTCTATTTTGACAAAGAAAGAAAAACTACTGAACTGGCATGCGACCGGTGAACAGCGCGGGAAAATTCGCGCGAGTCAAGGCATGCTTACTCTACCTGATTGGCTGAATATGAACTTCGTTCTGATTGGTCACTCGCTGCGTTGACTATGTTCTCTTTACCAATCACCGAGCTCAACGAACAACAAAATTGAATAGCGCTCTACAACTCACGGGATAATAAAATGTAATTTCTAATTTTCTAGACATCTTAAAGAATCCAACGAATTTGAAATTTCGTAATCTTGAATGACATACAGACTTAGCACCAAAACTTTTTAAACTTTTCTTCAGCTTTTGCGATAACTTAAGTAATTAAGCAATAAATAAATACTGTTTATACTCAAGCCACTTTCTACAGGGACGGATGCAGGAGTTTTCTTAGGAGGGGGTGCACCACTAAGTAATGGCATAGCTGATTGGTGAGGTAAATAAATTTTAATAGTGAATATGAAGAAGGCTTCGTCTCAGTGGTGGTTCGTACCCCCTAGATCTGCCTGTGTTCTACGTCTGTTTATCACTTATTTATATGCATTTCACTCGTTAACAGTTAAACAAATAGCAAACTCACACTTCAGAAAAAGTTTTTACTGAGAAAGTGGAGACATAACTTTGAAAAGAAAAAAGATGAAATGTCAAACCTCACTACTCTTGTGACAAGGTTTAAAGGCACTTTTTATACTCTTTTTAGATAAATTTCATATTTGATGCAGTTAAACTGTACTAAAATATTGCAATCTCATAGCCTGGTCAAATGGTTATATTCATTGGTGGTTGTGAAAATCGTAAACATTTATTATCGATATGCAACTGTAAAATGTTCTCACTGAGTAGGTAGAGATGATAAAATAATTTATCAGTAGTATATATCAGGTAGACATTAGTTTGATGTATTTTATTGACTTTTATTACATATCTTGGCACTTCACTGACTCCTGTTTGTCATAGTTTATTATAAAACATTTAATATGTCACACAAAGCAATTAATTTATTTTAATTAGAATAATTTATTCCTTTTTAATTTAAATCTCAGATTACATTGGCCTTGATGAAAGGCCATATTTAATATTTCATAAAATCACTGAATTTCTTGCAATACTACAAAAATTTAGAAACACCCTTTTTTAAGACAAGAAAACAAAGTTATTTTAATGAGTAGCAACACTGCACTAAAACAACAATATTATTATTACTCTCCTCCATATTTGATACATGAAAATGAAGATTGCAAAATTGTAGTCAAGGTTTATTTTTGTTCACTACTGATTAAAAATCTTCATCTTCAAAAACAAAACCCTTGTGTAATTTAAGTGTTTGTTACCTTCATAGACACTGCGAGAACATAAAAGGAAGTGAAACACGATCAAGAAAAGGGAAGAAACCGGGGGAAGGGGAATTCCAATATAAAAAGGTTTAAAAAGTGGTTTTGCTAACTCTTAGGGTGTTCAGCCTCAAAAGGTCCACAGTGGGAACTTTGACAGTACCTTTTACGGTATTGCGCCAAAAAAATATGACAGGAGATATTTGACAATCAATGGATTTTTAATGTCTCATCGGTTCCTCTTAGGGTGAAAAAAAATTCAAGCCATGCCCACAAAACAGGACCTTGGTAACTCTTGGAGGTTCTTTTCAAAATGTCTGACACGCAGGCCTGATTTTTAGATAGGAGTCCCCCCCTGGGAGGGGGAGAAATTGTGTTAAATTCCTTAACACTATACCTTGTTTCTCTCAGAATGACCTGTTTCTAACCCATAGCCTGAAGTTACTGGAGATACCACCTCTTAATGAAATGGCTGAGGGAAAATTGTTTAATACTGTCACCATCCTGTTGGAGACTGATGAATCCCTAACTTCTCTCAACCTTTTTACAACCACTTTCAAAATATAGGTTGTGAGAATGAGGAAAACTATTATCTTTACAGAAGCATCTTGCTTTAGCTGAACAATTTTTTTTTCAAGCTGGACATTAAAAATGTATGATGCAGAGTTGAGAAAATCTTTCAACAATAGAGTTTTTTCAACATTGCCGCTATCAGTCATACACATTCATAGATTAAATGGCTCCTGCAACATGATTGAGAGGAAGACAAGACTCCATATTGTCATCTGCTGTTTCTTTTTATGCTTTCTGTTTTGCTATAGGTGGTTTCATTTATAAGGGTCTGCCATTCCTCGTCTTCCGCAGAAAGTTCAGGANCCCCCCCTCTACCCCCCGTATTTGAAGGCCTTTTTGAAGTTTTGCATTGGTGTCGAGCCATGCAATTTTAAGAGTTTAGTTGTCCCGCGCACAAAGAATGATCTTTATCGATGATAACTACTGTAGTGAGAAAAAGGTAAACCTGTTTTTTTCTTCTATCATGCACAGTTGATCAAGCCACAGAATGGCTTCCTTGGTATTGTCTTGGTGGGAGGAGCCGACACACCATTGGAAAATCATTACGTCAACGACATCCTACCCAATTCCTCCGCGTCCAAATCCGGCCGCGTCAGAAATGGAGACGAACTTCTGGAGGCTAACGGCCAAGCTCTTGGCGGGAAAACACACGCTGAAGCCTTGGCCATCTTCAGATCCCTGCCAGCCGTCGTGACGTTGGTTGTAGCGAGGAAAAAAGATGCGAACCGCGCTATCTTGGAGCGTTTGAAACACGAGAAAAAAGACAAGAAGGTGAACAACAACATCGCGTCACCGAAGAAGAGAAGAAGCGTTATCGAGGAAGCAGCCAGCTCGAGTATCATCCCCAGGACGCTCTCGTCCGTTATCGACGTCACTAAGCAGGCTTGCCCGTATGTCAAACCTGTTAAGCGAGTTTCGCGCGTCACTTCCTTCGTCGGGCCAACGGAGGATGAATTGACTGGTCGCGTGAGCATTGGGACAGAAAAAGGCAATCAGGAGAGCACAATGGGGAATGAGGTGAATTTTATTGATAAAGTAGATAATTTGACAATTTTGTGAAAAGAAACTAAATAATTAGGTATTTAGGTATATGAGGTTTTCAGCACTAATTTTTAGGGGGGGAGGGTGGTTATAATTTGACAAGCCTATTTCATTTGGCTTCACTATACTGTGTCCAACTGAACTAGAACGAAACGGCTTTCCATGGCTGATACTCTACGAGTTCTAAATTTTAACTCGCTCGGAGACAGAGAAAGTAGTTATTACGTTATTAAACTAACATTCATGTTCTCTATATTTCCCTCCAGTTGCATACTCTGTCAACTAATCCTGAAACCAGTGACTACGCAGTATGTCAAGACGGTGCTATCCCCGAATGGAGCAAGACCTCAGATTCACTGTCACTTAAGAGCTTCGCGCGCTGTGAACCATTTCTCGACCTACCACAAATCCACGAGGATAAAGCAACTTTGCATTCCACCACGGTAGCTCTGAGGTGCTCGCGAAACCGGCAGAGCACCTTGAAAAGACGAAGCACCATCGAGCATTGTGATGTAAGGGCAACTTGGCCTGTTTTTACGACCAGACAACGACTCCCTCTTCCCTGGGACTCGATCACGTCTCAGAGACCAGCGACCGTTGGCCGAAGTTCCTCGGCGCGGGTTCGGCGAAGCATCGTGTCCACTTCGGCATCCAACTCTTCACTGTATCAAACTTCGAGCTCAGCTCGGAAGTTTACGGGGAAGCATTATATTGAGAGGAAAACTATCACCGTTGAGTTACAACGCGAAAGCACAGCCAGTGATTGGGGATTTACCATCGGAGGGGGAGTTTTTTCTCCGTACGGAGACCTCCCGATATTCATTGCAGAAGTTCCAGCTACCGGGGGTGCACAGGAATTTTTGCAGAATGGAGATGAAATCGTTGATTTCAGCGGAGAAAGTTTGGAGGGCGCAACGTTTTTAGAGGCAGAGAAAATGTTACGAAGATGCGCGAGGAAAAAGGTGACAATTACCATCAAAAGAAAGTTCCTTCAACGAAGTCAAAACCCGCAGAGTAATCCATACGCCGAGATGTGGAACTCATTAAACACGACGAAAACGAGAGGGAAGCAAGGAAGGCGACCAAAATCATTGCACTGTTAAGAGAGTACAACGCTTTTTCAATTGTTGTTCTATTTTGACAAAGAAAGAAAAACTACTGAACTGGCATGCGACCGGTGAACAGCGCGGGAAAATTCGCGCGAGTCAAGGCATGCTTACTCTACCTGATTGGCTGAATATGAACTTCGTTCTGATTGGTCACTCGCTGCGTTGACTATGTTCTCTTTACCAATCACCGAGCTCAACGAACAACAAAATTGAATAGCGCTCTACAACTCACGGGATAATAAAATGTAATTTCTAATTTTCTAGACATCTTAAAGAATCCAACGAATTTGAAATTTCGTAATCTTGAATGACATACAGACTTAGCACCAAAACTTTTTAAACTTTTCTTCAGCTTTTGCGATAACTTAAGTAATTAAGCAATAAATAAATACTGTTTATACTCAAGCCACTTTCTACAGGGACGGATGCAGGAGTTTTCTTAGGAGGGGGTGCACCACTAAGTAATGGCATAGCTGATTGGTGAGGTAAATAAATTTTAATAGTGAATATGAAGAAGGCTTCGTCTCAGTGGTGGTTCGTACCCCCTAGATCTGCCTGTGTTCTACGTCTGTTTATCACTTATTTATATGCATTTCACTCGTTAACAGTTAAACAAATAGCAAACTCACACTTCAGAAAAAGTTTTTACTGAGAAAGTGGAGACATAACTTTGAAAAGAAAAAAGATGAAATGTCAAACCTCACTACTCTTGTGACAAGGTTTAAAGGCACTTTTTATACTCTTTTTAGATAAATTTCATATTTGATGCAGTTAAACTGTACTAAAATATTGCAATCTCATAGCCTGGTCAAATGGTTATATTCATTGGTGGTTGTGAAAATCGTAAACATTTATTATCGATATGCAACTGTAAAATGTTCTCACTGAGTAGGTAGAGATGATAAAATAATTTATCAGTAGTATATATCAGGTAGACATTAGTTTGATGTATTTTATTGACTTTTATTACATATCTTGGCACTTCACTGACTCCTGTTTGTCATAGTTTATTATAAAACATTTAATATGTCACACAAAGCAATTAATTTATTTTAATTAGAATAATTTATTCCTTTTTAATTTAAATCTCAGATTACATTGGCCTTGATGAAAGGCCATATTTAATATTTCATAAAATCACTGAATTTCTTGCAATACTACAAAAATTTAGAAACACCCTTTTTTAAGACAAGAAAACAAAGTTATTTTAATGAGTAGCAACACTGCACTAAAACAACAATATTATTATTACTCTCCTCCATATTTGATACATGAAAATGAAGATTGCAAAATTGTAGTCAAGGTTTATTTTTGTTCACTACTGATTAAAAATCTTCATCTTCAAAAACAAAACCCTTGTGTAATTTAAGTGTTTGTTACCTTCATAGACACTGCGAGAACATAAAAGGAAGTGAAACACGATCAAGAAAAGGGAAGAAACCGGGGGAAGGGGAATTCCAATATAAAAAGGTTTAAAAAGTGGTTTTGCTAACTCTTAGGGTGTTCAGCCTCAAAAGGTCCACAGTGGGAACTTTGACAGTACCTTTTACGGTATTGCGCCAAAAAAATATGACAGGAGATATTTGACAATCAATGGATTTTTAATGTCTCATCGGTTCCTCTTAGGGTGAAAAAAAATTCAAGCCATGCCCACAAAACAGGACCTTGGTAACTCTTGGAGGTTCTTTTCAAAATGTCTGACACGCAGGCCTGATTTTTAGATAGGAGTCCCCCCCTGGGAGGGGGAGAAATTGTGTTAAATTCCTTAACACTATACCTTGTTTCTCTCAGAATGACCTGTTTCTAACCCATAGCCTGAAGTTACTGGAGATACCACCTCTTAATTAAATGGCTGAGGGAAAATTGTTTAATACTTTCACCATCCTGTTGGAGACTGATGAATCCCTAATTTCTCTCAACCTTTTTACAACCACTTTCAAAATATAGGTTGTGAGAATGAGGAAAACTATTATCTTTACAGAAGCATCTTGCTTTAGCTGAACAATTTTTTTTTCAAGCTGGACATTAAAAATGTATGATGCAGAGTTGAGAAAATCTTTCAACAATAGAGTTTTTTCAACATTGCCGCTATCAGTCATACACATTCATAGATTAAATGGCTCCTGCAACATGATTGAGAGGAAGACAAGACTCCATATTGTCATCTGCTGTTTCTTTTTATGCTTTCTGTTTTGCTATAGGTGGTTTCATTTATAAGGGTCTGCCATTCCTCGTCTTCCGCAGAAAGTTCAGGAGCCTCAACTCCAAGCATAGCACGGATATGTCTCTACCAAAGCAAAACAAAAATAAAGTAATAATGCTTGCCAGAAACATGCTAACAGAAAGTATTAACATTTTCCATAATATTATTCCTTTTCTTGTCATAAGCTTAGTTTGAGGGTCCAACACAGGCTTTTTTAATCATGAATCCCACCACTATTTTTGGCTCAACCCCACCCTCCCACCTCCCTCAGAATGTTAATCCTGATCTTGCCTGGTCAGATCGTTGTAATGTGTGATTTTCTGTTTTTCATCCCATATCACATCGTCACTTTCAAAACTACCCACATCCTGCCAGTCAAACTAAGCAAATCCCACTCCCACCAAAGTATTCTTATCCAGTATCCTGCCATTAAATTAGTGTAGTCCCACATCCCACCTCCATTTTCACTTTTATCCTGCATCCCTTTAAACCTATGTCGCACCCTTGAGTCTCACAGTATGCACACTGGTTCAAGCTGCACTTGCCTGAGTCATACTCAGAAAGGACCTACCAGTCCCATGAAATCACTCCATTGTTTTGTAATCATCTTCCATTTTGCATTTAATTGGACTCCTGTTAAAATGCCCATTTCCCATGCAGGAAGTAATTGAGGCAAAAAGGAGATATGGAGGTGTAGACAAAGGTTCATTTGAGGTGTTTAAAAACATCTCCAAAATACAAATATGTTCCATACACACAAAACACATAAGCCTCCTCCTCTCCTCTTCAAATAAAAAAACTATAATGTAGAAAAACATCTCGCAGAGCAGCTCATCCTAAAAGCTAGTACACTGTAGCAGAGAAATGACCCCAGAGAATACAAAACCCACCAATTTTACACCCATTTGGGATCTACATGTTACATATAAAGCCTAAAAAAAGCTTATACATGCAAGCTTAAGCTTATAGTCCAATTTGCTTCTAGAATACTATCTCGCTGTAATTCTGGAATGCAGCGAGAGAGTATCCTAGAAGAACATTGAGCGCGTGCGCATCTGGTGAGCTAATATGAACTTTTGAGAAAAAGAAAAAGAAATTAAAAGAAAACTTACCCGATTCTTCTTTCCTCTCTCATTAAACATTTGATATGCTATAAAGGAATAAAAGCACGTCCCAAAGAAACACCACACTGCCAAGGCGGGCAGCTTTCCGTAAGGACGTAAGTCAACCCCCATGATAATCCGCCATTACAAGCACTTCCTTAAGGTATTTCATGTAAGAACATGTTCGAGCCCAGGGTCTCTCCGTTTAATAAGCTGAAACATTCATGGAGTAGGTCCCGGAAGAGGTGTAGACACCGTGGTTAATTTCAAAACAAATAATTTCATATTTACCTTTTTTGGCAAATTGAAGTACGAGGAAGTACAAGTAGCTTGCAACTGAGGTTAATGCAGGCAGTCTTTAATTTCAAATGCTATTGTCATTTCACTTTAATGATATCTCCTCCGCCGGCTCCTTTGCAAGCTACCTGATGGCCCATTCCACACTGGTTACGCTCATCCACGTAGCGTTTCTGATTGGTTTTTGCTCGAGTCCGAATTTTCGCACGCAAACAGGAACTAACAATCTCTCCCTAATAATCTCTGTAGTTCAACGTCATCAACGGGTTTGCTACTATTCGGAGGGCAATAGTGCAGGAAAAAAGAGTCTACGTATGCTACGAGCCAAGTGATCGATCAGACCCGAGCTTATCATATCACGAAACGACTTGGTATACTTCTACTCCCCCTGGACTAGCCTGTGTCGTAGACGCTACCAACCGCGTTTAAATTTCCGTCTTCGACGCAGGCTACCCTGAACGGGACTCTAATCCATCGCAGCGTTGTCCCCAGCATTAAATTCGGATGCAAATTTATACACCTGGGCAGAGAGAGGCAGTGTGAGAGTAGTGTCTTGCCGAAGAACACAACACAATGTCCCCGGCCAGGGCTTGAACCCGGACCGCTCAATCTGGAGTCTAGCAAACTAACCATGAGCCACCCAGGCATTAACAAAAGGAAAGAAAAATGTATTAAACAGGAAAAGGTTTTGCCACAATGTTTTAATCCCAGTTTTATTAATCATAAAAAACGTTCGCCTTTTTCTCCTTCCTCGTTTGTATCCTTAAAATCGCCCTTGCATCATTCATTTGACAACATCGCCTATAAAGTAGGCCTTTACGCATCTTCTCGCTTGTTTCAATTGATATTTCAATGTTCTTGGTTTACACACACCAAATGTTCGAAACATGAAGCCAACATAGGAGTCTGTTGTCTTTTCAATATATTTCACGGAGCTCAAACTGCTTTTCATCCGGTGCGTGAAGTCTTCCAAATCTTTCACTGATTATAAAACCACAAGCACCTCGACTTGATAGAAGTTGGATGATGTAGTACCTCGCTCTGTTCCAGTAAAACGGACGTCTTAAATAACGCGTTGTTTACTCTGTNGCGCGCTCGGCAGTAGTCGGAAGCTGGGAGGAGCCGCCGAACATTTGATTGACGGTAGCGAAAAACGCATTTGTCGGTTGAGCTTTGAATTTTAGAACCCGAATGTTATTGAAAGGCGCAGTAATCCTCACAGTGTTTAAGTCAAGTTACCTGTATTGGTATTCTATGACATGTTTTGTTCGATCTTGGATTTTCGAAAACCACAATACATAAAAATTTCCACGCGGAAATTTTTCTACGTCGACCATTTCCTTGGACTCTCCTCTCTTCTTGCTCATTAGAAATGCATTTCCATTTTTCTAATAGATAAAATTTCAAGTGATGAACAAGAGAGTGGAATCAAGAGGATATTTGGGGAGACAGCTTTCTGAAACTTTTTGACGGTTTTCCAATCTTCTGTGACGCCAATCAAAGAACCACCATCACGTGACTAATTTAATTCCCCGCCTCCCAGAATAACGTGGTTTCTGATTGGCTAAGAAATGGGAAAACCAACATAAAGATTAAAACCTGGCACGCTTTGCCGTAAAAAGCGTGCAGTGCTTACATTGTTTGGGTATTCGTACAGATTCCTTATCCCCGTATGTAACTTCGTGCATTGCGTCTCTGAACAGATATCGTATTCTCAGCATTTTTTCTTCTTCAGGGCAGGGATCGTAAAACCCACTCAGATTACTCTGTAAGGAAGGAAAAAAAAGCATTTTAGATAATTCAGAGTGGAGAAAACCAACACTGATTCTGCCAGAATCAGAATCGGGCGAATCGTCATTAATTACTTATTACTCATATCGTCATTGGGAAATACCTCAGCTGCACTGAATCAGAGACGAGGAAACTTCTCTTGGTAGAAAGAACCGAGAAAAAATCTACTAAATTAAAGGCTTGCATATACTTCGTGAGCCTGAATTTCAACCGTTACCTCGAGCAACACAACATTCCCAACTCGATAAGGCTAAAATTCAGGCTAAAATTTCGCACGACTTCTAAAAACCTGTTATTGCCTTTCACCCTTTTCATCTACCAGGTTTTGAGTTCTAAGTGACCAACAAACGGACGACAACATGATTGTAAAATATCTGGATATACGTTACTGAGGTACACTGATAAAAAAGTCTGTATTTTCCGTACAGCAGAGGACACCAACCCGCTCCCATGATCCTACCTTGGGAGACTCTGTAAGAAAGAGACGCGAGTCCTTTACTTGGCACTGCACAGGGACAGTAACATCGATCACTTTACTGGGACCTCGGTGGACGCCCTCTGAACTACAAAAAGAAAAACACCATAAAGAAACTAGGTTAGTTGCAACAAACTTTGGACGATTTTAATTTCGGGCAAATAAGTGTCTGAAAATTAAACCGTCCGAAAGTTTTAAGCGTCCGAAGTATTTACAGTACAGTATAAAACTTCAAATAGCTCCAAAGCCACTAGTTTCCTTTATGGAGTTGAGACACTGCTTGAGTGACGTAACGGCTGAAAAGAATTTTTCTTATTTTCCTGTCGGTGCATCTGTAAAACCTAGAGGGTGCAGTACAACTTTCATTTTCACAGAGGTTGTTTCAGTGTAAAATGTGTTTTGTAGGCATAAATTTACGTTAGATATGTTTCAGCGAAGTGCCATACAACTAAAAAGTGTCCAACAATTAAACGTCTGAAATTTTTATGTCCGATTTTTTTTGCAAGTAATGTAGGTTGAAACAACAAGTTATCGGTGTAGACCGCGGGAAAATTCGCGCGCGTCAAGCCATGAATGACTTAGTTGCTGTCGCTGATTGGCTGAGAAGACAGTATCTTATCTGCGATTGGTTACAGTGTGTCAGTTGTTTCTCAAACACAACTCACCTTTCTCCCATGGATATCAAATGTCCGTACCAAGCATTCACTACCACTAACCCTGCAAACCACAATAAAGCTCTGTTTACTGTCGCGATAAACACAACTATTTAATTAAACAATTTAAAGGTGAAGTTGAATGAATGCCTAATAACTCTTCCTTTCATACCATGCCTGGCAGTCTCGTATTCTAGTGTTCTCTCGCAGGTCTCTTGCATGAGTCGTATCTGAAAACAGCCAAACAATAATCCCAGTCAAGAACACAAACATTGTTCTTAGCTCACAGTAGAGGGTATCACAGTGTTAGGAGCCACTCACAAAAGGTCAGCCCAATCCATAGTCTGTCTACAAGCCCCAGCTGGGATCATTGTGTTGTGTTCTTGGGCAAGACACTTTACTCTCACAGTGCCTCTCCCCACCTAGGTTTACAAATGGGTACCAGCGAATTTAATGTAACCCTGCGATCGACTAGTATCCCATTCCAGTGAGGAGTAGAAATACTCCTAGTTGCTTCATGCCACAGAAACCGGATAAGCACCAGCCTGATGGGCCACTTGGCTCATATGCAGACTTTAACTACCTTTACTCATTGAGATTCTAAGCTTAGCAATGTATTCTTTACAAGCTACTGACTTACACTGTTCTCTGCATCTCTTTTCTTCTCAGCCATTTGTTTGGCATATTTGGCTTGATTAGCTTCAGACTCCCTGAAAAAAAAAAGTTCAGACAAAACAACATTCAACTAACTAAGGAAAATTTTTAATAAGTACTGTATTGGTAAACGCAATGTATCGCATCTACACCCTAAAAATTTGCTTTATTGCTTAAAATATACAAGATAATTAGGGCGTAGCCTGCCAGTCAAGTCTCGTTTGCAAGTGGTGATACCATGAAAGCCAGTGCAGAGATAATCCATTTGCTATTTTTTTACTTACAAGGGTGAAACATTGCCCAGAATCAATCTTCTCATAGCCTTTTCTTTTGAATTGTGAATAGGAGTCCAAAGATCTGTACTTGTGAATACACTTTTTTAAGCTAACGCCTGTTGCAAAAACTATGATTGACACTGTAATACAATAAATCACCAAAGCAATAATTATCACAATATTGCTTTCTGTCTGATCAGCAAACATTTCCTTTAAACCTCGCTCTTCAATGTCACATGGAAGATGTTTAATTTGTTATTTTTGGCATGATTTTTATGCCTTTGAAATACCCAACATCATCATTTTTCACTTACATTTCTTTTTCCATCTTTAAAAATGGATTGACAATTAGCATCTTAACAACCCAGAACACAGCCACTGGTACTACTGTGCCGTAAAATATGGCTGCTGGATTGATTTCCTCTGACAGGTTGATTGGAAAATTATACACTTGAGATGCACGCGTCAATCTGAAAATTTAAAACAACAACATTGCATTAATGAATGATAACACAATTGAAAACATGCTCTTAATGTTTAATCCAGAGACAAAATTTTCTTTACCCTCTACCCTCTACCCTCTTTTCTTTTTACTTCTCTCTATATTTTAAGCTCCTCCCTTGTACTAAACCCTCCGTTTAGAATGCACCAAAATTTTCAATTACTTTCGAGGCAGCTTAATCCTTTCTACCAAGACATTACTTGACTGTGAAACATCTGTTCTTTAAAATTAAAAAATATCAAATTTCACATGGAAATGTGGAGGTACTAAATAATGAAAACTATAAATTTCAAGGTCTATAAGCTCATAAACATGCTCTTCACAGTCTTTTCAGGCCTTGAATTTTGCATTTCAAATAAGCTGCTAAAACTCTTAGCATGTTGGCCTCTGCATTAAGAGGTTTGGGTGTGAGACATGCTAGCACTGTCTCTATCCAGATGTATAATAATAAATGGGCCAATTTGCAAATCATGTGAGTGCTTGCCTCCCAGGGCGAGGGGGTACTCCCTTATATGAGCTATATAGGTATGTGCGGCCCCAAAAGGTAAGGTTTTTAGCTATGTTGGTCATAAATAGGGTATGGTTTTTGCACTCTAGTCTTGAACTGGATATGTCTTTTAGAATAAGCTACTTTTTCAGGTTATAAATAGGGTGGGGAAAATCGCAGGTTTTGGTCATAAAGAGTGTACATGGAATTCTTTTGATATGTGAAGATCAAAGCTTCAAGGGCTCCTCTTTGACAGAAGTATTACATGAGAACACATCCAATAAGGGCTGTGCTATGTGACTGTGCATATTATCTGTGCTTACTTTACTTTAACCAACACACCAACTGGTGACCCAATACACATTGTAGCTGTTAATTTACTGTGCTCTGTAATCTGTCTTTCACATCCATAGGCAACCATAGAACCAAATGTTCCAATTCTGAAGAAGTGATAACATATGTGTTAGGCAGGCAAACCTCAATGACATTGACATATGATTAACTCACTCACAATGAAAGAGCATGTCGTGTAATAAAAATTTATCTACAAAAGAATGTATCAAACACTTCACAAAAAGAAAATTAAGTATTAGATCAGGACAGAAAAAGCAGACATACTTTATGTAGCCTCTGAGTTTTGTGTTCTTTTCTATTTTTCTTGTATAAGATGCTAATGTAAATGAACTTGGGACACCAAGCTAAAAAATGAAATAAAGAAAAAATAATGATGGAGAGCAATAAGTGCATAGTTAGTAAAGTGGAATTATCAAGTGCCGACTACATTTGCATTCAATAAAATGAAAAGAGATGTTTAGTACATTTAAGCTATAGGTTTCTGCAATTCTTAAGTAAATTCCTTAGATCTAGCCAATCATGAGGTGAGCTAGATTCGCAGCCATTTTTGGAATATGTTTATCATCCTCCTTCAAATGGACTTGGTGTAGGGCAAGGACACTGAGCTCATAAAATGACCCAAAATTGAGCAAACATACAAGAGAGAAATCCTAGGTAAAAAGTGATTCACTGAGAAAAATAAATTGTGTTGACTTGAATTTAGTTCCGAGAAATGGATAAAAATTTGCTAGACAAGTCTTAATTTTCACCTGTGTAATCGACAGTACATTGACACTTCAAGGAGACAATATAATTATGAAGGATGTGTTAATACCTGAATTGTAATGACTGCTTTGCTGTTCTCAGTCTCCCTTATAAGAGTTGTGGTCATGGATGACTGCATTCCAGCCCTGTATGTTATATAACCTATAGTGTGTCTGTCGAGTTGCCTAGCAACCACTAGTGAAGGAAAATAGAACAGTTATGGTAAGCTTTCACGACCAATTGATATAATATATAGGATTCAGAGCTGAACAACTTTAGACATCAGTTCTTTTATTTATAATATTTAATTGGTTGCATTTTTTATCACACCTAATTCACGTAAAAGAAATTTCCAGGGTGCAAAGAAACCAATTTTTGGAAGTAACTATCAATGATTTATTGACCCAAAATTCACTCTCAAACCACCCCCCCGCCCCCCCTTTCCCCTCCCCAAATTTCATTTTTTACAGTAATCCCAAAATTATTTGAATTTCCTCAAAACATTTTCTCACAAAACTTCACTTATCTGTCAAGAAAGTAAAGAAAAGAATCTACTAGCCTGACTGCAAAATCTACCAGCAACAGGCTGTCGGACACAACCTTCTTTGCACACTGCTTTCAGACTCCGGGTGACTTGCTGAAAGTGTCAAGTGTGAGGTTTATACAGAGGTTAAAACTATTTTGCTTTTAATTGATATTTATTGGCTTTAATTTGGTACTTACTGCAGTTAAATCCAGCAGACAAAGCACTTCCATCACTTTTAAGAGCAACTCCTCCAATTACATAACTATGGTATTAAAAAAGCAAGAAAAGAAAACAAACAAAGAGAAGGTAATCAAAAACTACTTGAAAGATCAGATAAATAAGACACTGCTCATTTTACAAACAGTGAGCAAGATGGAGGTTTAAAGGGGAGACTTAAGGAGAATTGATAAATGATAGAAACTAGTATGCTTTTAGTGGGGTGGGGATAGATTTGCAATGGTCGCCATCACTTTATTTATCAGACTACTCAGGAGTTAAGGGCAATGTAATTATTATTAATAACATTTCATAAATTATATTTGACAAGAGAAACAACAAATAATTAAAGACAAAGCTAAATAATTACATATTTTTCACCTTCTTTGCGTAAGGTTTGTAAATGCTCGAAATGTTAGTGTAGGACCATTCCCAGCCTCAAACATTGCCTGAAATTAAATATCACCAAATAAATGAATCCTCTGTTTGTATTACTATTACATGTATTTAAAAAAATGTTTCCTCCAGATATTCAAGTCCAATAGTACCAGTAAATTTAATGCTGGTAAGAACACTTTTGTCAATGCAGACATGAGTTATTCAAGACAAGACCTAATTAACTTTAAAACAAAATATTTCACTATACTCAAACCTGGGGCTTACTCTAGTTACACAACTGTATACAGGGAGACTCTGCCCCAAGGTCCAACCCCTTACTCTTTTGTATACCACTTTGACAGAAAAGGTAGCCCTTTCATATACCTTTTATTGAAAAAAGGTGTTACACGCCTTTCCTATACCCTCTCAAATATAATAATATTACAGGAGAACACCAAGCATAACCAGAAGTGGCGTTAACCAGAAAAACAAGTACACGTATTTGATATTCAGTTCATGTTAAAGTTGGACTTAAATGGCAGATTTCCCTACCCTTTCAAACACTTCAACTTGTAAAATCCCTACCCTTTTATATACCTGAAGCCTGAAAAAGGTAACCCTTTCGGGCCGAGCCTCCCCGTGGAGGCCGTTATAGGAAGTACCCCTGGGTACTCAACATCATTGGTGATGAGCTCCACCAATGATAATCACTCACCTCGCCCCATGATCTGTGTGACAGAGTCCTCTTTGCTGCCACTGAAACACTCCCACTACCATTTCCATTCTTGACATCTAAAGAGCCACCTAAAGTGAGTGTATCTGTACGAGTAAGAGGTGCCTGGAGGAAGAAAAGAAGAAAATTTTTTTGCTTTATAAATTGAAAATAACCTTTTAAAGCACTCCATGGAAATTACAAAATCTTGACATTTGAGTTTTGAAAAATTGTAGAAGACATGAAAGGAAAGTTCGATAAAGCTTATTGGTAAGTGTTGAATTAAATGTACAATTGCTAAACTTTCAAATTCTCCACTTTAACCTACAAAATGCACCACAATGCCCGAAGAAGTGATAATAATACTTTATTTACATACCTCTATTGACTGTGACATTGACATTGACCTCACTTCGATATTTGGCAAAACTCTGAAATTCAAGGTTAAACAATATTACAATGAAACAAAAATAAAAAATATTAATAAAATTACTACTAAAATTACAGTTACTCTTACACATACAAATTCTTCACTAGTTTTGGTTCTGTGCGACAATCTTCTGTAACTTCTAATTAAATTAAAACACTTACCTTTCATCAAAAGAATCTTCATAATGATCAAACAAATCAGTAGCATCCACTCCAACGGATATACTGCCCTAAATAATCACAAGAAATGAATACATGTTGACAAACTTTCTGATAAATAACCTGTGACTGCTTTTTTAAGAAAACCACGAAGGAATGTAAAATAAATTATGCAAGTAAAAAATAATTATTTTTACTTGAATGCATGATTTATTTTAATTCATAATAATTTAAATTAATTAATTATAATTTATCTTAATTAATGATAATTTATTTTAATTAATACTAAAACTAATCTCAGGCAATAGGCACTTTTCAGTTCAGCCTTACTGTTGGATTTGTGATTTGTTGTAAACGCCGCTCCTCTTTTTCTCTTTGTAGCCTCTCATATTCTTCACGAATCTAAAAAAAACATTTCACAATTCACACAAAATGCTATTCATAGTCAGGCTGTAAGCTTGACACTGAAAGGGTGCATAATGGTATAGTCTATTGACTCTATCACTTGCTATCCAGTGTGTACAGTGTTTAAAGATTTTCTTGTGGAAAGCAATTTTTAATAAACCGTTTTTTAACTTTAATTTTTTAATTATGCAGGGTTGGTACACACATGTACATAAAATTTATTTTATTAGACCATCTTGTCTGTAGCACAACACATACTGGCAGAAATTAAACACCAATCACTCTGACTAAAACTTACTTCAGCTGGTGTTCTTTGTCTTTCAATAATCTACAATAAAAGCCAAGAAGACTCATTAGATATTTAAATGTTTTCTGACAATACT